CAGCAAACTCAAAACAAAACAGAAAGCCATCCAAAACGAAATCATTTTAACAATTAATCCTGAATTAAACTAAACATGCAATAGTAAAGTTAACAACATAATTTCCCAGAAATTTTAGCCGATTCAATTAACTAAAAATGAAGGTAAGGAGGAAGAAATTACCGGCTAAAGAACCAAAGGAGAATTCAGCAACGCCCAAAACCCTCGACGTCTAACCATCACAGGTCTTTTGTTTCAAGAGATCCGGCTTTGGATTTTGGCCGGATCTTCTTAAAATGAAAAACTCGCGAAAGCTAGACGAATGTCACAAGTGAAACGGCCAATCAAAGAAGGAAAAAGAACAAAGAAGAAGAACTGGGGTTTTAGTTTCTTAGATTTGAAATCTAGGGTATTCTAGTGAGAATTGGGGAATGAAGCTGGGATTTTTGGAAAGAGGAGAGGATGGGGAGTGTAGGGTTAAATTTTGGGGTGATTTAGAGTGTTGCCGCCGCGGTAGGCGATTTCCGACGGGTGGCGGACGACGGCTGTGAGAGAGACGAGTTGAGAGCAAAGGAATGGAAAATAGGGTTAGTTCTCTAGGGTTTGGGGGGATTTTCGGACAGTAATAAGGGGATGGGGGATTATTTCATAGCCGTAGGATTAAAGAATTTGAACGTCTCAGATCAAAAGTTAGTAAAGCGGTGTCGTTTTGGTTGAAGGGGTATCTGGACCGGGTAGGATAGCTGGGTTTGGGCGAAATTTGGGGCGGACTAGGGCCACTGAAATTGTTTTGGCCCAAATCGGAACTAAGCCTATCTTTTCCTTTCTTTTCTCACTTTTCTTGATTTTAAAATCCTAATAAAATTAAATAAAAACCTAAGTTAAATTTTAAAATAATCTAAATTGTAGAATTAAATCTAATTATCTATTTCCACTATCTACATAACTAATTAACTTAAAATAATGAAAGAAATTTACTAATTTAACACTAAAAACGAACATCATTTTTTGTGATTTTTTGTTTAATAATGTAAATGTACTCTAAATGCAATTAAGACCCAAAAAATGCTATGTAATAAAGATTTGGATATTTTTGGTATTTTTCTATGATTTTAAAATGTTAAAAATGCATGAAAAGATGCAACTAAATGCAAACAATTAATTAACAAAAATTCCTACAAATTCTATGAAAATTAAAAACAATTAAGGAAAAATCTATTTGTGAATTTTGTAGGATTATTTTAGTCGGCCAAAAATTACGTGCTCACAGCTGTCCCTCTTTGCTCGGAAACACGAAAAGTTTTCGGGCAAAGATAAAGTGAGCAGATACGAACAATTTTTGCTCGTTTGAATACTCCATGGGAAGTGTCAGATATTACTTATAAACTCCGTCCTAATATATTTAACTGTCCAACCTTGACACATTTGGAACTCTTCAACTGTGTCTTCAAACCACCAAGTTCTTTTCTTGGCTTTCAAAATGTTGTAATTACCCTCCATCTGGAAGGAATAGCCTTTGTGCAACCTCAAAGTTTTGTGTTATCAATGTCCCCCTTTCTGTCAATTTATACTTGTTGCACTGTTATGGCACACAATGCCTCAACATTGTCGCGCCACTTGCTTGTTTGTCAGCGTCACTATCTTGAGCTAAATTGCTTTATGAAGTGCAAAAATTTGGGTGTCTTGTCACTTGAATTTGGAGAACTTAGTGGTTGCTAATCCAAAACATGATGAAAGATCAACTTTGGAAAAACTTCTTTTTAGCTTGTCTTCAGTTGAGCAACTTCATTTGTCCTATAGTGATCATATTTCATGTGATTCTAACTATTTTATTTACTCCAAAGCTTTTGAGTGCAAATATAGTTCCAGACGGGCTTCCTTTTATATATGGTCAATTGCGTTAGGGGTACACTTGGACAAATATTAATTTGAGTTCACTTCATATTAATTAGGGTAAGCAATGGTAAATATATGTATGGTTTGGTTCATTTTAAATGTCTTGGTATTTCTTTGTACCATTAGGTGGATCATGGCAGCGACAGTAGAAAGAAATATCTGGACACCCCAGCCTGTTTGAAGTGACCACTCAACAAGCTCGAGTATATATATGTGAACATCTATTCGTTTGAGAATTCCATCAAAATGCTTTTCGTAAAGCTATTGTTTGCTTGCACTCCATCTTTGGTAAGGATCGGATCCTTAATTGGTTCCAACGAAGAAAGGTGTATCACCATTGAATTAATGCGTTTCCCCAGAGCTTCTCTATGCTATTAGCCATGTTTGTTTAACCAAAAATAAGGATTTCGATCAAAGCTTATTTCAAGAAGAACTCGGGTTACTGATAATCAAATAAAAATAGGAATAAATGATGTAAAAAATAGCTGAATAGAAAGCAAAGTAAATCAGTATATTCCAATAGTATTTCGTATCCCTGCAAATGATCAGCTTTCCCCTTTTTATAGCTATCTCTAGGTAATACATTTTGTTTCTGTCATAATAGAGCCATTATTGACAATCAATGGCATTTAATGTAACGTTATAAATGGTAATCATATTTTGATTTAGTACAGATTCCCTAACGTTTTCCGTAATTAATGCCTATTGATTACTGACAATACGTATCTATACCCTTTTTTGCTATCAGGTTCATTCTCTTAGCTCGACCTTCGATCATAAAGAGGTCTGAGCACTTATCTTTCTTGAATCTCTTGAATTCCTGCCTGTGCCTGTTGTAGCTCGTGCCTCTTTAACTATTCTTTGCCAATTGTCATCATTTGACCAGTCTACGTGTCGTGACATGTCACTTTTCAATCAATTCTATATATGAACTTAATTTTTCCCAATACAGATAGTCCCCCCACTTGCCATTTATTCATCAATAGAATATTTGGGAAGTGGATTTTATTAAAGCGGAAATATTTGCCGCTATTAATTCTTCTTTGGAACTGACGCTTTATTTGTCACTTCCATTTAATGTTCGCAACACGTGGCATCTCCTGGTTGGTTCTGCAACTTTTCAGCGTTTTTTAAGGCTTTTTTACTGCTTCACCAATTACGAAACGACAGTTCTCATTATGACGTTTCCATCATTGCATCTTTTCCTTTGACGGTTGCTCTGAGTATAAATATACTTTTTCACCTTTGTCTTTCTCACAAAAAGTTTTAGAACATTCAATTCTTGTTTTCTTCTTCCTCGTACTTCTATGTCTTCTTCAAACCCTAACCCTAGGAGAGTTCCCATCGTTGACATCCTTCCTCTTGCTCCTGTTAGGAGTAGGATAGGAGGTAGACTTCGTAGTTTAGGGTCCTCATCATCGCGAGGCACTTCTCTTCCTTCAACAAGTTCTACACCCCCTTCTAGAACCAGAGGTTCTCTTTCTCAAAGGTCTTCATCTAAAGGTAAAGAACCCACTGAACCTCTTCGTGAACCTTTGGTAGATGAGATTGTTCCCACTGAACTATCTTTCTACAATAATAGAGAGTCTATTAGAAACCAAGTTTCTTCTATGTCTTCATTAGAGCGTGCTAACATTTATCCGACTCAGATCACTAAAGGTTTGATTTCTGTGGTTCGTAGAGATTGTCATTGGAGTCATGATTTCCCCATTATATTCCCCAATGCAAACCAAAGTATCACTTCTTATTTGACTGGGTTTTCTTTTGTATATACATATCCTTTCACGTTGAATTTCAAGCCTCCTATTGACCCTGTTATCCTTGAATTTTGTCGCTTTTTTGATGTCTGCTTAGGACAAATTGGCCCTATCGTGTGGAGGGCAGTTGCTTATTTGAGGCATTTGGCCAACATGGCTGGCATGCCTTTTACTTTCTTTCATTTAATTCATCTTTATTCTCCCAAATTCTTCCGTCAAGGAATTTTTACTTTAGTAGCGAGAAGCATAAGAGTTCTGGTTAGCCCAGAGGACGATAAGGACCGTGGCTGGTATGCCAGGTTTGTTGCTGCCCCCACTGTTGGTTTAGTTGGTGAAGAAAATGTTCCATTCCCTGAGAAATGGAATTTTGCACGTGAGTTTCCTTTTATAACTTTTCCGTACCCTTTTTCTCAATTTTGATGGTTGCCATTTTAACTTTTCTCTTCTTTTTTTTTTAGCAACCATGGGAACTGTTGATGAGATTCCCAATTTTTGTGGTTGGGTAGGAAAGTTGTTAAGTGTTGCTCACATGGAAGGTAGATCTTGGAAAAACCACTCTCATCGGTTTGATTAGAAAGTGAAAACTCACGGTAAGTGCCTTTTTCTTTGTATTTCTATTCACTTCTTTCTTCAGAAATTATTTTGATCCTTCTTTTTGTCAGGATTTTCCATTCGAGGCATAAGTGTTGAGGCCGTCGTAGCTTCCAGAATTTCTTTGGAAAGAGCCCAAGAGATAATCTCGGGTTCTTCATCGAAAAGGAAAGCTTCCACCGAGCAAGACTCTGAAAAAGAAGAAGAACAAGATGGGGGCTCTTTGATAAGAAGGCCACGAGCTAGAAAACGCATTATTTCAGATGATGAAGCATCTCCCCCTCGTTCTGTTCTTCCCACCGAGCCTGTTGAATCTGCCTTGGTGATTTCCGATGATAATACTCCCGCGGCTGCTCGTGACTCTATTGCTCAGCTTTTTGCCCGTGGGTTTGATAATGAAAGTTTGGGTCCAATTTCTGATGAAGTGCCTCTTGCCTCTTTTTCCATGTCTGCTCATGTAACACCTTCTTTGCCAATCGTGACTGTTGCCGTTGCTGCTCCTCCCCAGGCTGTTTTGACTCCCTCTACAGTTCCTCCTACAACGGTCCATCACACTGAGGTTGGTTCCTCAAGTGGAGGTGAAGTTATGAGGCAAGTTATCATCGAGGTTCCTGCTGATGGTAACCTTTTGAGAAAATCAGGTCGGGCTAATGTGGTTGAAACCTCTGATTGGTCCAGTTGAGAAAGCCAAGCTTGAGAGTTACCTCACTTTTTTTATTTAAGGTTCTTACCCCCCCCCCCCTTTTTTTTTATTAGATCAATCTAGTTGGCACGGAGATGATGAAGAGGGTTTCCCACACAGAGCAATTAATGCATGACTATCAAGTTGAAGCGGACAACTGGAGGGAGCAGTATGAGAGTCTCCAAATTGACGTGGAAGTGTTAGAAGAGAGTAAGTGTACCTTGGAGCAGCAACTGAAGGTTTTAAGCTCAGAGTTAGCAGTCGAGAAGGCATGCTCAAGTCAAGCTGATAAGGACAAGAATCTCCTTGAAGCATCTTTCTCCGAGCAGCTTTCCAAAGCCAGTGAAGAAATCAGAGAATTGAAGGCTTTGCTAAGTAAGAAAGAAGCTTATGCTGGTGAACTCGTACAAACACTTTGTCAGACCCAGGAGGACCTTCGTGAGTCTTCTACCAAGGTCAGCTTTTTAGAGAGTTCACTTGCTCCTTTGCAAGCTTCTTATGATTCTGTCCTGGCTGAAAATGAAAAGCTTAAAGACGAGATTGATCAATGGGAGAAAGATTACGAGATTCTTGAAGACAAGACTGCAATTGAAGTGAGTTGGGCAATTCTAAACACCCGCCGTGATACCCTGATGGAAGTTAGCCAAGAGGGCTTTAGTTTGGATGCTGAGTTAGCCAAAATAAAAGAGACTATTGAAAAAACTCAGCAAGGCCAAACTTTCCTTCTCCCATGGGTGATATTCCCGAGCACATCGAAGATGAAATGGGTACGGTGGATGCTCCAACTCCTTCAAGCCATCCCGAACCTTCTGCTGCTCATGACCCTGTTTCAGATCCTTCTTCAGCCCCTCAGTGAAAAGTTTATGATATGTTACTTCTCTTTTTTATTTGTGGAATGTGGTTATAACCCCCGGTCCCATTTGGGGGTTTGGTTTTTTTGGAAACGATAAGTCCCCAGACCTTTTTGGGGCGTTTTTTGTATAAATGACAAGTAATTGATGACTAAGTTCATACTTAGCCTAAACTTTTTAAGAAGTTTTTCTGCTTAGTTATCTTGAACTTTTATTTTGCTCGACTTTGCCTTTATACTTAAGGACATGTTAATTAATTCGTGGGTTTATGTTTTACCCTTTTTTGCATTTTTGTTTCATAAAATGCTTTATTAACTTTGTGGATGTTTAAATCACACATGATTTTTATAAAAGAGGGCCCTTTTATTTTCGACACTTAATGAAGAAGACGTCTCAACTTCATAATGGTGTAAATATACGATAAAAGAAATAGGAACACACATGTTTCTTGAAATAACTTTGATAAAGTTTTCATTTGAACTTTGTTAAGTTCAAATAACATCTTACATATGTTCAAGTAACTTCTATAACTTTTCTCGTAACTGTTTTCTTTTACAACAGATTTCAAAAGAGAAAATAAAACTCAAGGTTTTCCTTTACAACCTGTTTCTATACATTGCCTTTAACCTAATTTTTGAAATCTACAAGGTTTTTCGAATGACTTTGTGTTATTTGGCTCGTAACTTTGCTCTGAACTTGACTCATTCGATGAGTAGACTTTGAGGCTTTGAATTGTACTTTCGACTATCTTCTTAGTCTTCTTTGCCTTCTTTATACGTATGTCGTATATTATATAGTCCCCCAAGTGTTTGAGCTTTGAAGTTATAAATCTCGAGCACTTGTTTACTCCTCTTATTTGGTCCTTTTCCTAAAAAGGAAAAAACATACGGGCTCGGAGGTGTGAGTATAGATGAAGACTGCTAAATCCGTTTGAATTTCTATCAGAATAAATTGTAACTCTAGACCGGGAATTTATATTTTTCCGTGTGTCTTGCAGGTCGTGACTCATCATTTAGTACGGGTTAGATTTTTTCCTATCATCTAAAATCGTTAGTAAAATTTTAATAATTCAAAAAATAAAATTCAAAAATGAGGGTACCTGCCCGTAGATACTTCTTTTCCTTAGAAATAATATCTCTTCAGATGAACAGCATTCCAATGTGAAGGTAAAATCTTACCACCCATTATTTCCAGCTCGTATGCTCCTTTTCCTACGATACCGTGAATCTTATAAGGTCCTTCCCAAGTTGGACTTAACTTCCCCGCGTTAGCCGCTCTCGTGGATTGAAAAACCTTTTTGAGTACGAAGTCCCCAATCTTGAAGTATCTTAGGCGAGCTTTCCGATTATAATATCGTTCCATAACCTGTTTTTGTGCTGCCATTCTTATTAACGCAGCTTCCCTCCTTTCCTCAAGTAAATCTAGGTTTATTCGCATTTCTTCTTCATTGGTTTCCTCAGTTGCTTGTGTATATCTCATGCTCGGCTCCCCTATCTCGACTGGGATCAAGGCTTCAGCTCCATATACCAGTGAAAATGGTGTTTCTCCCGTACTTATTTTTGTTGTTGTGCGATAAGCCCATAAAACACCAGGTAACACTTCTGGCCAATTGCCTTTAGATTCCTCCAATCGTTTCTTCATATTGTTGATAATGACTTTATTCGTCGATTCAGCTTGTCCATTACCCACCAGATGATAAGGTGTTGAAGTAATCCTCTTGATTTGCCAACTTTGAAAAAACTCCGTGATTTGTGCGCCTATAAATTGTGGGCCGTTGTCACATACAATTTTTTTTGGTACGCCGAATCGACATAAGATATTTCGCCAAATGAAATCTTTGACCTCTTTTTCTCGTACCTGTTTAAAAGCACCTGCTTCCACCCACTTAGTAAAGTAATCAGTGAGTACTAGCAAAAATCTTACCTTGCCTTTTGCTTGTGGTAGTGGACCCACGATATCCATCCCTGTTGGCCCAAGATCAGTTGAAGTTTTGAAGAATGACAAAACTCAGTAAAGGACCAGGTTCATCTAAGGAGACACAGTTGTTATGGCCCATACACATGAGATGCACGTGAAGAAGATAAGTCTTTGAGATCAAGCAGCAATATCTTGATGAATATCTTCTGAACTGATCGAAAAGATTGCATATAGGATATGGAGTTGAAGTCTCCTTATGAAAAGAGAATTACATCCGGATCAAGGATATGGATTAGGAGTTAGAGTTGTTCTTGGACTCGAATTGTCAAAGGATCCACAATTCGAGCTCTTATCAAACTCTGATTACTAACTCTATAAATATAACGATTGTTCTCTTTTACAGGTGATTGCACATAAGCTGAAGTTAAACCAAATTGAGAGCAAAAGAGCTAGGCGATTGTTGCAAGCAATTTGTGTGTGATACAAGTGTGCAAATCTGAAGCTACAAGAACTAAGTGTGAAGAACCAATTTCATTGTGTCTTTCTTTATTTCTAGTTCAATTGTAGTAGGTATTTTAATATTGTACCTTTCCAGCTTTCTTAGAAGCAATTGTATTAGGTGCTTTGAGTATTCAAGTTAGAGTTAACTTGGAAGTGTCGCAACAGTTGAGGCTATGTGCTACACTGGGATTAGAGTTAATCCTTAGGTTTACAAAGAGTTTTGTAAATGCTGTTTTTGGCTCATTGAAGTTTAGTGGAAGTTTGGGAAATCCTACTGAGTAGTAGGTCGTGGTTTTTTTCACCTTTTAAGGCAGGTGTTTTCCACGTAAAAATCTATGTGTTCTTTATTTCTGTATTTTAATTCCGCAAACAGTAGAAGTTAGAACACCTAGAAGAACCAGGTTCTTCTAGTGCGAAAATTAGGTACCACACAAATCACCCCCCTCTTGTGTGGTATTGACGTCTAAAACATCAATTGGTATCAGAGCGGGTTATCCTTGAAGAGGCTAACACCTTAGGAGAAGATAAAAAATGAGTGCACCACCTGGGAACTGGAAAGGGAAATCCACTGCCAGACCTCCACTTTTCAATGGTTTGTATTACTCTTGGTGGAAGAACAAAATGAGAGATCATATCATAGGGGAAGACTATGAACTTTGGGATATAATTACTGATGGTCCCCTAGCTACCACTAAGAAGAATGCAGAAGGAATTGATGTGCCAAAAACAAGGGCTGATTGTACTGCTGAGGATCTGATGAAATGGGAGAAAAATGCTAAAGCCAAGAAGTGGCTAGTGTGTGGTCTAGGAGCAGATGAGTACAGCAGGATTCAAAGTTGTACAACTGCTAAGGAAATATGGGACACTCTACAAGTGGCTCATGAAGGAACACCTCAAGTGAAAAGGTCAAGAGGAACTCTTCTGTATTCTCAATATGAGAATTTCACTATGAAGGAAGGAGAAACTATCCAGGAGATGTATACTAGATTCACTACTTTGACTAATGAGCTTAAATCTCTTGGGAGGACCATCCTTGAAGAAGACAAGGTTGAAAAGATTCTAACAAGAGTTCTGCCAGTCACTTGGGAAAGCAAGATCACTGCCATTCAGGAATCCAAGAATATTGCTACCCTTAGGCTGGATGAACTAATTGGGAACTTAATTGCCTATGAAATGAGGAGACAAACAATGAAGATGGATACCCCCAAAATGGAGAGAAGTTTAGCTCTCAGAATCACTGAAGGTGCAGATTTGGAAGATGATGAAGTAGCCATGATCACTAGGGATTTCAAGAAGTATCTGATGAGAGGAAAGGGTGCTTCAAGAAGTACAAACTTCAACAAAACAAGAGCTCCGGAGAAACAGATCAATGAAGGCTGCTACAAGTGTGGCAAGATTGATCACATGATCAAAACCCGTCCTCAATGGGAGATTGAGTGGAAGAAAGAAAGAGCTGAAAGAAGAAACAGGAAGAAGGAACAGGTTCAACCAAAAAGAAACAAAGCTTCAACTAAGGCTATGGTTGCTGCTTGGGGAGAAACATCAGATGAGGACTCTGAAGATGAAGCTGAGGAGGATCAAGCTCTAATGGCCATTGGAGAATCAGAGGATGAACAAGAGGTAAGTATTCTTTATCTCAAAGACAAGATCAAATTCTTGTCTAAAGAAAGGCTAGCTGAACTCTTAACAGACTTCATTGATGAGTCTGAGATAATTAATAATGAAAAGGAAGTTCTGTCTAGGGAATGTGTGATTTTAAAAGCTAAATGTAAAAGTCNAGTTCACTCGCTCCTTTGCAAGCTTCTTATGATTCTGTCCTTGCTGAAAATGAAAAGCTTAAAGACGAGATTGATCAATGGGAGAAAGATTACGAGATTCTTGAAGACAAGACTGCAATTGAAGTGAGTTGGGCAATTCTAAACACCCGCCATGATACCCTGATGGAAGTTAGCCAAGGGGGCTTTAGTTTGGATGCTGAGTTAGCCAAAATAAAAGAGACTATTGAAAAAACTCAGCAAGGCCAAGACTTTCCTTCTCCCATGGTTGATATTCCTGAGCACATCGAAGATGAAATGGGTACGGTGGATGCTCCAACTCCTTCAAGCCATCCCGAACCTTCTGCTGCTCATGACCCTGTTTCAAATCCTTCTTCAGCCCCTCAGTGAAAAGTTTATGATATGCTACTTTTTTTTTTGGAATGTGGTTGTAACCCCCGGTCCCATTTGGGGGTTTGGTTTTTTTGGAAACGATAAGTCCCCAGACCTTTTTGGGGCGTTTTTTGTATAAATGACAAGTAGTTTATGACTAAGTTCGTACTTAGTCTAAACTTTTTAATATTAAGCTGTTTTCTGTTTTAACTTAGTTATTTTGAGCTTTTGTTTTGCTCGACTTTGCCTTTATACTTAAGGACTTGTTAATTAATTCGTGGGTTTATGTTTTACCCTTTTTTGCATTTTTGTTTCATAAAATGCTTTATTAACTTCATGGATGTTTGAATCACACATGAATTTTATAAAAGAGGGCCCTTTTATTTTCGACACTTAATGAAGAAGACGTCTCAACTTCATAATGGTGTAAATGTACGACA